TGGAAAGCACTCGCACCCATATAGAAAAAAAAAAGAGAAATTAAAAGGATGAAAAGCTCCATGTTGTTATATTATTTGATGTGACAGTAAGGATGGGAAATACATAATTGTGATGCTCCTTTTAAGGGACAAATAATTCGAAATAGTGGCAGCAGAGAGCTGCTGAATTTCTCTCCATGTAGTGAATTGATTGACAACTACTTGGTATCAGAGGGAACTGTTTAATTTTGTCACCTTGCTACGTGGTTGATGCCGTGTGGTGTACGAGTCTATTGGAGTCCATGAGAAAGATAAACGTTTTGATGCTCTTCAAAATTAGTCAAAATCCATTCTTTTTTTTATGAAACACAAATCTCCTCTAAACTACAAGTTGAGATATTAGCATGCATGTAGTATCAGTTTAAAGAGCATATTGTCTCCTGTCAATTTTGCTTCAACTGCTGATTACTTCCAAAAGTATAGCGCTCATTCCGACTTTGACTTTTTATCCTCTGTATAAACGTGGGTCCGAAACATGAATACTCCATGGATTGTATTAGCAAGCATTCTGACTCGATGTAGACTGGTAATGAAATACAGTAGTTAACTCCTCTGCACTAAAAAAAACACTATATATCATGGCATAGGCTCTTTTAGGGAATGGATGAGTTCAGTCTCTGGAGCTGTTGACTTCTAGGTGCAGCAGAAGAGAAATGTGGAAGGGAGACCCTTTGAAAGGCCTCATCATGTGGTTTATTCCTAATAACATAGATTTCTGTGCTTGATTTTCCTGTAGGATCACAAAAACTCAATCTGCACATCTCTGGACCTTCCAAAATGCCTACCTGAACCATGCAAGACTTTTCCTGGGATAGTTGGGTTTTTAGTCACAGGTCAACCTTGCAATGCACTTAGCAGGCGGAAATGGAGTGAGAAACAAGTATAAATGAGAAGGCCCACCCTGATTCTGCCAATACAGCAGATAAGCTCCCAACTTCATCTAGAGACTCCCCAAACCTCCTTGAATTTCCTCCAAAGATGTATGAATATTCATATACCCCTCTGCAGCAAATGAAAATTCTGCCTGGATATTCTATTCAACTTGAAAGACTGAAATTCAGATCACTGTTAGCCACCACAAACTGTCAGAATTCCAACATCTGAACTAACGTGGTGGACATTAGACCTAACAATCAGCTTTCATGCAGCTCCAATATAAATCTCAATTTACTTCTGACCCAGTCCTCAACCTTCTACACAACTATGTTATTCATCATTCTCCCAATATCAATTCTGTAACTTTGCCCCTCATGTTCAAAATTCTTTATATGTACACCTTTATTTTGAAAAGCAACAAATATTTGATACTTAGGATGATGCAACATATAATTGGCATAGGCACCTCCAGTTTCACCTCATTCAGTTGCTGTTTGAACTATGTGCCAATTTATTTGCAAACAAAATATAAAAGAAGATTTCAGCAGGCTAGTTTCAGAGCAGAATTTTTAGACTCTGATGTACTTATAGTTCATTTGGGCAACTGTTAGTGAAGAACTACAATGGACAGTTCTGTATTTATACTTTGGGTCTTTATAATTGAGTTAATTTCTGCACTTCTTGGGTGTAGTTATACAGGTGTTTGGGTGTTATTGTAAAGTGGTTTGTGTTTCACTTTAAAAGTTCCACCATGTCAATGTGGTTAAGCCTTGACATGGTTCCCAACAATGTTAAAGTTAAGAGGTTAGAGATTCGATGGAGTGTCTCTTATCAGTTACAATCAAAATCTTGTGGCTTATGACCATAAGACATAGGTGCAGAAATTAGGCCATTCGGCCCATCAAGTCTGCTCTGCCATTCAATCATGGTTGATAAGTTCCTCAGCCCCGTTCTCCAGCTTTCTCCCCGTAACCATTGATCCCCTTGATAATCAAGAACCTATCTATCTCAGTTTTAAATGTACTCAATGACCTGGCCTCCACAGCCTTCTGTGGCAGTGAATTCCGTAGATTCACCACTTTCTGGCTGGAGAAGTTTCTCCTTATCTCCGTTGTAAAAGGTCTTCCCTTACTCTAAGGCTGTGCCCTCAGGTCCCAGTCTGAAATCTGAAATCAGACATAAAATTGGGTTTAAAAATTGCTCAGGTGGACTGCCAGAATACTTCAAAACTGACTGACCGGGAATGAAGCAATCCTGTGGTGATTGACATTTGCTTTGCTGTCCTTGATAGAATGAAGGTGTAGGGTTTGCAGCCTCAGATTCTGGTGTTGACTTCACTTCGGGTTTTGTGCTTCTGTGGTTGGATTTAGGACATGGATCTCAGGGGCTCTACTTTTTAACTTTCTTTTGTTTTTATATTGAATTAGGTTTAGTGTCACATATACTCACATGAGTGGAGTGTAAAGGTACCTTGGTACAGGATCTTAGGAATAAATTAGAAAAATAAAGATTTTCATTTTAAACTCAGATCTATGTCAAAGGTTGAAACTCTAAGCCTCCTAGCTTCAGTTTTTGTTTTGAGCAGCTATTCCTGAACTGAATAAGACTGAAGGATATGAACTAACATTGTGGTATTGAATGTTAAGATGCTGGCACAGGGGTGCTCACTTACACAGAGTTAATACTGGGCCTAAGCTTTTCAGGCCACGTGTGAAGCCTGCTCCACTCAGTTCTTGAACTATGATGAGCAGATTATATAGGATTATGGATCACTCATGAAATGAAGCAATGAAAGGGCAATAATAAAAACATTCTGTAAATTACTGCGGACCAAATTATTTCCACACATCAGAGTAGTTTTTTGCCTACGAGTTATGAGCTCATTCATAATCATTCTCCCGTGAAGACGTTAGATGACTGATGAAATAGACACAATATTTGGGGTTTTAGAGAACAGATGGGAGAATGGCACTACATAATAATGTTCATCAGAGTCTGGACAGGCAGGAGGCCAAACAGCCTGTTTTTGCACCGTAAGAGGTCTGTGATCCTCTAATTCTGCTGTGTCAGCATCTTTCTTTATTTTTCCATTGTACCTCTTCGCCTAAATACATTGTGTATATACATTTTATATTTGGATTGATTCAACTACAGCATCCACGTTTCATTTGTATTTTTGGTGACCTAGATATTGTGATTTGAAAGAATGGAAAGTGCCAGGTGTAAATAATGTGCCAGCCTGTTCATTTAGCTACAGGGCTTCTGGTGGGATTTCCCTGGTCACCACAGCATGACGATTTACAACGATTTGTAACAAATGAAGCACTTTTAAAATTGGATTTGGCTAAGCGTTTTCTTGCATGTCTTTATATGTAATGAAGCAGTCAACCTAAAATGGGATTTAAGAAGGGGTGCTACATAAATAAGAAATGATCCAATGTATATGGTATTTGCTGGAGATGTACTGTTTCATGATTTACAAATCTTCAAAGCAACTGCTAGAACTTTGTGTAGTGCTCATATAAGCAACTCTCTAGATTTTCATTCCCCTGGGACAGGTTGGATAATTATTCATCATTTTCCCTGTCATTCTGCTGTTGCACAGGGGCATCAGCACTTGGGTCTCACCTGTTCTCATTCTTAGTTTATCTTCACTGCCCGTCTTTCTGTTTTCCATTACAAAATTGAAATCAGCATTTTCCCAATTTCAGCTGACAAGTCCAAATGCTACAGCATAAGCCTAATAGAATAGAACACTGGTATCAATCTATCCACATGTGTACTGCAGTAACTTCAGCAAAAGTATAACAATCAGAAGTGACTAATTGGACTATTTGAAAAAGAAATGCCTTAATGTGTTGAAAATTATAGGAAATACAGCATGGTGGTGGTGAATTGATTACAAAAGCTAAAATGCAAGCTTATATTAACATATACCACCGTGTTAAGAAAATGTACAAATACGTCACTGTGTCAAACCACTATATGAATCTTTGCTAATTTGCGATATTCAGGAGTTCTCTGGCCAAATGCTGCTGAATATCTTTCATTCTATAATATGTTGCTACCTATAGTTAATTCCTGATATATTCGCTCTTTATCCACAGTCATAACATTTCATAATGAAGTTCTCTTTCAAGCAATGCTCAGTGCTCATGTATTTGGATGTTCCGAGCATAAATCATGGTGTTGATGTTTACAGGGAGATGGGGCTGGGTGGACAGGGTGTGTGGAAGCTGGTAGGAAGCAGTGAAGCCAGTGAATTTCAAGCCAGAGAGGCCAAGCCCATCTCACAGCAGTACTTTCGTTGAAAAGAAAATCTTGGACTCTCGCCTGACAAATCACTGGATTCCCTGCCTGGCCAAGAGTGGGGAATTTGGCTGCCAGGAGGCTACCCAACAAAAAAAATCCAACAATCTGTTATTGGACCTAGAAGAATCATGATGAGGCTGGGGAGAGCTTTGACAGAGGTCAGAGCACAGTGAAGCATTCCTGCTCCTTCTGGCCTGCAAGATATTCAAAAATAGCATACATTTTACAAACTCACCTTAGACTTTCCTGGATCGTGCTGTGGGTCTTCCGCTATAGCCTTGACATTAACATTTAACTGTGTCAATGATCAATTGGTTTCCATACCTAAAATGATCTTCAAACTCATCAAAGGCCTGAATCACCAATATTAATGTTCAGTTTACTGAGAATATAGTGGGTTTGACTTCCTGGATATTTAGGATTTTTGAAATGATCAGCTCTCCTTCAATCCATTCCTTCTCATCAGAAGAGAAGATTATTTAAAAAAAAAGGGTTGTGATTAAGTGCTGCCAAAAACCACTTGGAGTAATCTGCTATGTTGTACAATACACATTATAATATTAAAGTGTTGTCCAGCTATTAAGGTGCTGCTGAAATTCAATCAACATTAACAGACTGAAACTCAATTAACACACCATCATCAAATAGTGGCAATTTAATGAATTCAGGCATGTCCACACATTTCCCCAATACTCTAAGATGAACTGGACCAATAATACTCAGTTTTTTACAATATAAGTATATAAATTGCTGTTTCTTCCTTTCAATTATAGTGGATGCTCCACAGTGCATTGTGAAAAAACCTTTCAGCCTGCAACCTCACAGTATTATTCCACACAACCACTCCTGGCACCATAATATAATTGAAGGGGAGACAGGTAAGTAACAGTACAAGTGGATGCATGAAGTACTAACAAACACTTGCTCTTACCACCCCCCCCCTCACCATTTTATAATTCTATCGCGGCCTTTCCTCCACTGTATGAACACCATAGCCTCTGATATTCACGTGGAGCTGAGGAAGGAATGGAATATGCTTTAAAAAGAGAAATGACCTGGAGATGCTGCCAGTCTTCACATTAGCATTTTCTTTTACGGACCACTGAGTAGGCAGACCAACTGATCAGTGTGGTTGGGGGCAGTGGGAAAGAGATGAAACAACAACAACAAGAAGCCTGCAATCAGGGTCCCTTACAATCTCCGGCACGAGGTCCATAAATCTAAACCCACCATGATGTGAGTTTCCAAGTAATGAGAGCCTTGATTAACAGGTGATATGGTTGAGTTAAGTGCTTGTTCCCCACCGTTACTCTTAAGCATTGTCCCTTCCTACTGTTTTATTGGAAATGATCTGATCCCACTTCATTATGTTTGTTCTTCAATTCAGATTATAACACTCTGAAACATGCTTACATTCAAACCAGATAAACAAGAGAAAAGTAACCCTAATCTTAAGATGAAAAACTATTGTCAATGCTTAACCTCTGACCACCTTCGGCTGACATCTTCCCCTTTTAGGCAATAAGACTGATTCTGCTCTTACTTCCAATGTCTTCTGAAAGCAATGAACTCTAGATGCTGTCAGGAGCTGATGGACACTATTACATTTGAAAAGGCATTTTGCATCTTAGTTCTATACCAAAGAAAACAAAGTTAGCCAATAAAATCACTCCTAATAAGATATGACACCAAAAACTAAATACTCCCTTGTGAGGAAAACCACCTGTATAGGTTCTAATGATCTCAATGTTTGATGTAAGTAATTAGCTGCTCCTCTGCCTCAACCATTTAAGTTGTCTCCATCAAGCACTGGGAGCTCATAGCAAGTGGGAAGCTTTTAACGTTATGCTTGACCACAATACAGTGGAGCAAACCATTGTCATCTTCCAGATAGGCAGTGAAGAGCAGAACTGGAACATAGTTTTTACTTACTTGTGTAGCTGTGTAAATAAGACATCTATCACCAGCATATATCAGGAACCACCGTTTCAGTCTTCTATATATGTTACATCTACACAGAGTACAATATTTCAAAATTGGAATTTTAAAAGATCCTGAAATTGCAAAGTTAAAAAAGTCATACATTTACATAAACATTATGACACGAATACAGATACTAATGTAAGGTCATGATCTGTTTCTTCCCTCTTCAGAGGTACTGCTGACTTGCTGACTGTGTTTCCAGTGTTTTCTGCTTTTATTACAGAAAAAAAGGGTCCTTTAGCATGATTAATATGTGTTGGTGTACATCAGTGCTTCCCAAAATGAGGGTCAGGATCCCAAGACAGTTTGCAGACTGAAATTTTCAGGTTGTGAGCTCCCTAGTCTTTATCACTGTATCGCAATCAGAATTCCATAATGTACTATAGTAACAAGCAGGGACCCCCTCAATCCAGTAGATTTCTTCCCCTGTTACCCCACCCACAATTCCCGCAGTTCGCAAAACTTTTCAAACCACAAAAGTGTTTGGGGAGCACAATGTGTAGGCTTCACATAAACAGTAGACTGGGTCTTGATCTTCATCCAAGAGGCAGTAGCTGGAGTCTGGAAATTCCCACCTTGGCCTACCCAGCTCAGGGATGAAAATATTGGGAAAATGGGAATTTTCATTCCAAGAGGGTAGACGCTAAGAAGAGTCAGGCAGGCTTACCCGGGAAAAAAATTCGGAGACAGCCACAGTCACTGCTGAGTATGGAAGTGAGTGTTTAAAATACCCGCCTCAGTCCTATGTGACTTTGTTCCAGTTAGAATGAAAATGTAAAGGTGTTTCTTCCCTCATTCCTCTCACACCCTCAGCCCTGACATACTCCCCATATATGCTACCTCATGTTCCCCAAACTCTGAATGATCCGATGCCCCCCCACAAGCCTGGCTACCTGTTCACCCACTGTACAATATACAGAGGCAATGAAACCCTGTAGGAAGAGATGGATGTGTTTTTTAAAAAAAAAAAAAACTGCATTAAAAAACTGCATTAAACCTTCCCATGGTCAAAACAAGCTCTCCTCAAAGACTCTGTTCCACCAAGCCAATCAAATTGTCAATCATTCAGACTATTTTAAAGTTTCAGTCCCTGAAATTGGTCAACCTGTTCTTGTATTTTATTTCTGTATGGCGCCTACCTCATCTATTGTAAAAGTTTTCACATGGCAGGATCATTTGGAGGCTGTTAGGAGTGGGTACAGTGGCAGGATGGTTTTCAGGGCAAGTAGCTTGGGGACGGAGCTTGTGTGTGGCAAGTGGCAGGCAGAAATGGAGATAATTAAAGGGCTAATTTAGAGCCCCATTTCCATGCTGGCTGGTATTTTCTAATCGTCAATTGAGTCGAAGCACAGTGATTAAAATGAGGTGAACTCATCGAGTATCCTCCGAGTGTGAGAGGAGGCAGTTGGGCTGCATTTCACTATTCAGAATTCCGTCCCACCATCACCATGCAGCTGCTGTTGCCTAGTGAATGTGTTGTCCTCTTTACAATATTAACCAGAAGGTATTGCCATTGTGAGGTACCCTCCCTCTCTACATCAGCAGTTCCAACTCTCTCAATGGGGCTACTGCTGTCTCATCATTGGAGGACCTTCCATTAACTATCTATCATCAGAAGCTCACCCGCCATCCTTAATTGGATGCCAAACATGTCCTCTATCTGCAAATTTTAGTGTCCTGCTCCCAACATGGTATATCATTGAGATCCACACACGATCCTGATACTAAATGCCCAACCATCCTGCCCATGATAATTAGATCATTAAATTAGGCAGTTAATTCTACAGCCTCACAAATCTTAGCGTGAAAAAGCAGATTCTCTTGTCCCCATCCCAAATCTCTTGTATTTAATTTTGTATGTGTCCCATTGTTCCTGGTCCCTCAATCATGGTTATAATCTGTTTTCATCCACTCTGTCCCAAGCCCTCATAATTTTAAACTCCTGTATTCAATCACCCTGGAATGTCATCTGTTCTAACACAATGTGGTCTCTTTTTCTGAGTCTTTCTCCGTAATATGTACTTCCCTGCAGTTATTCTCTGCCACACCCTTCCAGTTGATGAGAAAGACAGAAATAGGTTTACAATTTTGGCTGTGATCTTGAGGATTTGACTCAATATATCATCCTGTTTTTGTCACTTGCTGTGCCTGATGCAAAATCCCAACATTTTCTGATTTTTGTTTCAGTCTTGCCTCATTTAATTTCAAAACTTGATAAAACAGAAATTAAAATGTAATCAAGTAATAAAGAAAATAGTCAGAAAACCTAATGGAATGCCGGTCTTCTTTGGGATATGCAAGGTCCTGCTTAAACCAACCTAGAGTTCTGAGCACTTCAGGCACTTCTGGAAGGACGTGTTGGACTTGAAGGCAGGAGAGTTACTGGAATGATACCTGGGCTATAACACAAGGAGAGATTACACAAAATAGGGATATTCCCTGCAATTTTGAAAGCTATGAGGGATGTGACTGAAGTTTTCAGGATGTTAATGAGAATAAGTGTGATAGATTAAGAAAAAGTACTTGCACTAGTTGAGGAGTCTAGAATTAAAAATTACAACTAGATCTATCAGGAATGAAGTTAGAAAACAGTTCAGTACACAAAGGGTGGATGAATTTGGAATTCTCTTCTGCAAATGTTGATTGCAAATTGATTTTATATCTAAGCTTTATAGATTTTTGTTCATTAAAAGCATTTAGTAATATAAAGTCAGATATGTGGATCTTGGTTGCAAATCAGCCACGGTCTTGTTGAATGACTGAATACACTTGAAGAGCAAAATGGCCTCTTCTTGTTTCTAATTTCCACTGGTGCCACTTTAAACACGTGGACCATCTTGCTGCTGATGCTGATTTTTCATGGCTCATTTAATTTCTTTTAGACCTTTTTCGTAACAAAATTTCATTAGTGTCATGAAAATCTCCTCATCACACAATGACATCTAGGTACATCTTGGTCCAGAGTGATGCTGATACCTCTAAATAAAACGAGAGCCACTGTGATCATTGAAAACAGATGTAAATTTATGAAAAAATTGCAATCAGAAATATTTATTTCTGAATGAGCTATGATATCGTTTTCCTCACTGAGTCTCACCTCTGATTGAGTTATTTGACAAATGCTTATGTTGGTTAATTTTTTTAAAAAAAGAAATTTGTTGTTTATTAGAAGAGTGCTGGTCAATCTGAATTATTGATGTTATTTGCTGCAGCACAACTGAGGAGTTTATCACCTGGCCGCATCAAAAGTGATAGTGAAGATGATGATCTGCCAAATGTGACTTTGGACAGTGTTAATGAAACTGGATCCACAGCACTCTCTATCGCGCGAGCTGTCCAAGAGTGAGTACAACCTTTCCTTCGCACTTTACATATGTTCCATAATTTCTGTGTCATGTAAATCTCTGCTGCCTTTATCCTAGCACAAGTCTAGTACAGTTTACTCTGCTGCCGTGTGCTAGCTCACCCACATTGGTTGCCAGTTAAACAATAGTTAGATTTTAAAAATTCTCCCGGCTTTCAACTCTGTCGATGTCCTTGCCTTTCCCTGTCTCTGTGATTCCATTCAATGCCGAGATCTATACTGTCTGCTAATTTAGTTTCTCCATCATTTGTGTTTATGATTTAAACTCTGGAGTTTCCTCACTAAAATTCTCTGCTTCTCTGACAATCTCATGTCACGCCTTTAAAATGTATCTTTTTGACCAAACTGTTGTTTTCTGGATTGATAGCTCTTTGCTGACTTTGGTGCTGTATTTTGTTTGAAGATGTAAAGAACTTTGAGACATTTTACGATATAGGTGCTATACAAATGCAGGTATTTGTTCTTCTATTGCAATAGTTTCATTCCACAGTTATCTATGTCGCTAACGTTGTGTCAGAGCTTCAACAAACTCTGAATCTTTTAAGCACAGGTTATGTATGTGCCTGTGATTTATCTAATAATTATGGTGCATGAGGAGTACAAAACTTTACTTTCTGCGCATACTTTTCGAGATCTCACAATTTAAGCATGTCCTTTTCCTTATTAGGAACATACAATTAAGATAAAGTAGTGAGATATTGTTTTGTGCATTTTGTCCTCCACCTGTTCCAAGCTTTCCCTTCCATCCTCTCAAAAGTGCCAGTTTTATTCCTATAACTGATGCGGTTGAGACAGCATCTCTGGAGAGAGTGAGAAACAGAGTTAACATGTCAGGCCTGTGACCTTGCATCAGAACTGGGAAAAGTTAGAAATGTAGTAGACTCAAGCAAGAGGAAGGGCTGTCCTTTCCAAAAAGAAAAGGCCTCCTGACAGTAAAAAGGCTTGGAGAGATTAAGTAACAGAAGAGTTAGCCTTCTAGGGTCAAATGGAATGGTAATAGGGCAAGAAGAAAAATAAAGAAACAAAATATGACTATAGTGGGTATGCTACCAATATTTGAAGGAAAAATTATTTTTGTAAAAGCAATATATGCGAAGAAAAGGAAACAAACTGGGGGCAGAGATTGTGGTCTGAAATTGTTGAACACACCATAGAGTCTGGAATGCTGTAAAGTTCCCAATCAAACAATAAGACATTGCTCCTAAATTCATGTGAAGTTTCCCTGGAACAGTGCAGCAGGCTGAGGAAAGAAATGTCAGAGTGAGAGCAAGGTGGAAGACTGAAATGACAAGTCACTGGACGTCTGAGGCTTAAATGGACATGTTCTGCAAAGCACGTGATTTCAAAACGATCTATTCTTTTCTGCCAGATATTACTGACTACAATAACAAGGGAGCAAACATGCTTAATAACTGCTACTGTGCCAGAGTTTTTAATGTGTGCGCTATTGGAAGAGCATCTAATCTTGAGAACTTTTATGATAGTAGTGTTGTGTTGAATAACCAAGTCATGATGATCTATTGCAGGGCACTCCATGTCCTTGCACTTGTGTAGACAGTATCCAGTCCATGAAATCCTGAACAATCCAGTCTGTGCCAAATGGTTGATTAAGTACCCTACCTCTTATTGTTAATTATTAAGTTTTTGTTTTATCTCTACTGATGTAAGTGGTGCATCTTGTCATATGTAGTTTCATGGCAGCAGGTTGCCAATCAATATTATTCTCGTGCTAGTTTATTTATGATATTTTATGCTCTAGTAGAGTAGTGGAGACGCTATATCCCTGTCACTATCTCTGTTAACCTTAAATAATCATTTATGTAAAATATGAAAAATTTAAGAAAATAAGAGCCAAGTGAAAGGCTGTAATTGGATTACTGTTGTACAATTCTATTCCCGGGTCATATCTGTACCCTATCAGTACAGAAAGAGAATGTTTTAGATATTTGAATGTACATCCAATTCAAGGTAATCAAATCTAATAAGTTCATGGCCCTTGAAGGGGATTGGGTTCTGAGATTTTGACTTTTTGATCATTTGAATGTCAGGGCTTTTAAGCTGTGGCGCGGTGCTCTTGCCTGAATGTTTGAGCAGGTTGAGAGTTCAAGTCCTGCTGCAGTGAGTTGAGCACGTGGCTCAGGTTAATAATCCTTGTACCCGATTGATGGAGTGCTTCACTGCTGGAGGTGCATTTTCTCAGGTGAGACATAAAGCCAAAGTCCCTCAGGTGACCCCCTCAGGTTGATGCCAATGATCCCAAGGCACAATCTGAAGGAAGATTAGGGCAAGTTCTTCTTAGTGTTGTTACCAATAATATTCCTCTGCTAACCCCGAAAACAGATTCCTGAAAGAAAGGAAGGCTACTATTTAGACAGTGCTTTTCATAATCTCAGGATATGCAAACCATTTTGTGGTCAATGAAGTACTTTTGAAATGCAGTTCATATTTTGTTGTTGTAATGTAGGAAACAGCAGCCAATTTGTACACAGAAAGCTCCCATAAACAATGATGTGGTTGAGGCCAGATCATTTTTTTGATTGGTTTTGATTGAGGGATAAATATTGGCTTAGACACAAGGGAGCAAACCACTGCTTTTCTTTGAAATACTGCCATTGAATCTTTTGTATTTCTCTGAGGGTAGTTGGAGACTTGGTTTTACATCTCACATGAAGGTGGCACTTCAATAGCTCAGCACCGCCCACTGTGCTGCCGAGGAATATCAGCCTTGAACTTTATGCTCAAGTTTCTGATGTGAGACTTGAGCCCATAATTTGAATGTAAGTGGTGCTTATGGCTGGCATGTTAATTCATTACCACATGAAGCTTGCAGGCTCCTGACTGCCCACAGATTAGCTTAAATTTCCAACATTACCACCGTGAATACACTATACAAGTTCCTTCTTTGTAGCTACGAAATGTGTGGAGATGCCTTGAGGTTATGCAAGGTGATATATAAATGCAAGTCTCTTTCATATTTTTGGCTTTGTAAAGAAAATTCCTGACCAGTGTCTCAGTCTCTAATGCACATGGAGAGAAACATTGAAGCTGGATCGGATTTTGTTTTAATAACAAACACACACTGTTTAAAAGTATAAGTATCTTTGGCAAGCTTACCATTATTTCTTGCATTCCCTTCAGGTCATAACGTCTTACGGTGTGTTTACATAGGCCTTTATTGCTGAGAGGTTAAGTGTTGGAAACTCAGCAGCATATGCATGTATCTGTGTCTATACTGAATGTGATATTTCAGTTACAAATTCAGAAAAAGAGCAAAGACAATTAACCTATAGTAGAGTAAATATTCCCATGTATGTTTGTGGAGAAAGTGATACTGAAGTATCTTTATCACAATTTGGTTGCCTATTGAAAATTTTCCTCATATTATTGATAAATGCAACAGTGTGCTAAACAAGACAAATAATTGCAGAGGTTACAATAAGTGTTAAAAGTAAACCTAATCAGTTCATAGAGCATTTGTCCAAAGTTAGCTCACCAGCCTATTAATAGTGAATAAAATATAGAACGCTTCACACAGCACACCATTTTTAGGCATTCTGTTTTATATTTAAAGAAACAAAAGTAAATAATGCTGACAATATTTTTACCCATTTTTAATCTGTTTAGCTTTTAAGAGACAGATTCTGTGATTGATGACCAAATAAATTGGAAAGAAATCCTCCGGTTCACCACAAAATAACTGGTTTTGTTCAACCTGCGCTTGTTTGCTTTTGCATTGATCATCATTTTTGGTATTTGCAAGAACCAATCCATTGCATATCTAACTAATTCTATAATGTCCGTTAAGCCCATTCTGGCATTAAGCCATACGCAACAGGTGATCTTCCAAACTGCAAAGCAACAGGATGTGGGCTGAAAGTGTTTGAGGAAGTTCACAATCAAGTCTGGCTGGCTTTTCTCCAACATTATAAATAAACTTTAAAGTATGGCTTATTCACGCTCATTGTCTTGTCACTACTTCCAATAACGAGGTACCTTTCAAACCAAAACTATAATGGCAAAAGCACCCCGTATTGTGAAGTGGCGCAGTGCAACAAAGGACAAATAACTAGCCACCTGGTGGTTTTTGAAACAGCCAGCTTTCAAACAGCCAACCAATATTTTTAACCAGTGGAACAGTCTGATTTTGTTGTCTTCTGTTGAGGCTTTTCGCCAAATTGCCAACCATCTGAGATTGTCTTGGAATCTTCATGACTAATCCCTGCAGAGCTGTTGAGAGCAAGCCCAGACCAAGAATCGCCAAGGCAATTTTTAGAATTATCTTTCATCACTTTTGTTTCCTCACTAAGTTTGGAAAAGAGATACTTGACTGGCAGTCGAGAATTATCCAGTTGTTAATGATGAGCTGGGAAGGAGGTGTATGCATCGAAGATAGCAACTAATGGCAGAACTGTGGAGGTGGACAGTTGGAGATGGGAATTCATATGAGGATACCTCCAGGAATATGATTCCAAAAGAGTTGACAATCCTAGCTTTCAGCATGCATATAGTCACTGGAATGTGGATAAATAAAAGGTCCCAGCAAGTAAACAATAGTCCCAAAATTGTGGCTGGGTGATAGAAGAACATCCAATTCACAATCTTAGATGGAAGGGCACAAGTTTTGTTACCATCTTTCTACACCACTCCTTTTGATTATCTAAGGTTACTCACACTGATTTGAAGAGTTGTTAAAGCAAGTTAGGTGGCTTCTCAGTGGAGGGATGCAATATTATGTTGCACCTCCTACTGACGATGCAAAGAATTGTACAAGGAGAGGTAGGACAGCCACCCCATGTCCTGATGAATCACAAAAATGCACGTAGACTGCCACAACCATTTCAGTAAATGAAAAGAAGGAAACGCTGAGTACTTGGGTCCTTTTAAAAGCTGGTTAAGAAGACATGTGGGAATAGAAGAACTGGGGAGTTTATCCTATGACTGTATAACTAGGCCACAGCTAGAGGATATGTCCAGAGTT